CGATACAAAACGATTATTATTTACACCCCTATTCAGCACTACCATCTAAACATAGAGCACGCTGGCCTGTGACGTCATTTCGTCCTCTACTGCGCATGCGGGACACTTGTATGTGATCTCCTGTGTGAACGGCATTCATACAATGCAAGTCGCATATATTTGGAAATTTGAACGGCAGTGCAAAAAAAAATCGTATTTAACAAAAAAATCTGAATTGAGCCTCCAGGCCTGCAGTGAGAACGTAGCCATAGAGATGGCTGGAAAATCCAGATTATAAAAGGTTATGCGTGGAGAAAACTAAAACAGGACTCACATATTCCTGAGTGAAATCGATGAGGTTCTGTAGGTCGATGTCGTCCCGATAAGCCCGGATGTTGTTGTTGATGAACAGGTTAAGTTGGTCCTTAATCCAGTCCTTAAAAACAAAGGCCAGGACCCCTGTCGTCAACTCCAGGAAAAAGATGATTCCCAGGAACACGGAGAACTAGAACAAGCAGAACCCACGAATCAGAAACAGAAACCAAACAGACACTTTTCCGGGTCTGATCTTCCATCTCGCGGAACGGAACATACAAACTTAAGCAAAAACGTGTTTTCCCGAAGAGCTCCGATGCAGCCGGCGAAGCCCAGGATGAACATGACCCCTCCCACCACCATGAAGAGCCACACGGGGTCCAGCCCCCCCAGGTCGGTGATGGATGAGATGTTGGACAGAACCCCCTGGGGAGCAGAGAACACTGTGATTCACGCAGCTGTGCCTCCTTCAGCGAATGTTTGGCGAAAAGTCAAAGTGACAGAAAACCGCCTCGGATGACGGCATCAGCTGGGAGGGAAACTGGTTCCAGTCAAACCAGAAACCAACCTCTAAAGCTCAAAAAAACAACATCACAGATAATAACTGTTAGCTTAGCATTTTTTACGCTCCTAATATCAAACAAGACGCATTAGACTGACTTCCTTTCCAGTTTAATTGGCTAAATAAGAAGCTCACCTTCTCACTCCATGCCCACAGTCCGATCCCCACCAAGGCCATGCCCAGCAGCTGCAAGACACCAGCCACCTCTGATTAGTGGAGAACGCACAGATGCAGAATGACAGGAAAAGTAAGAAATATCCCCTCAGTTACGCCTCAGCTTGCACTAAGCTGCATCTGCTTCACAGCTATTATTTTTAAAGGAAAAGTACGCTCATATTCAGAGTTTAATTATTACAACCTGTTCAATAAATGAGTGGTTTTAATTCAACGTGTGTATATTTTCCAGCCATGCAGGAAGGCCATGGGTGAATGATTCCATGAATGATTGTAGACTAAATTTAACTTTTGAAAATCCAATACCAAAAACGTCCAGAAGATGGCAGAAGTGAATCTATTACCCCATTTACGCTACCCTTAAAAAAACCGTGCCGAGACCGGTCCGAGCTCAGTAACTGAGATAACTTATCGTGTGTAAA